TTTTTTAATGAAAAAAAGAAAAAAAAAAAAAAAAAAAAAAAAAAAGGCAATCATTGGCACTTGGGTGTTGGAAACTGAGTGAGCACTGGTGAAGTTCTTGAAGCCAAACCCAACCCATTGTCCTTTAAGGTCGCCATCATCTTTCAAGGCTGCCATCATCCTTCAAGTTCGTTGTACCAGTTGCTAGGTCGTCATCGTCAAGTCCTTCAACAACGGAAAGCGAGATCACTTCTATGGCCATTGCTTGGTCGTCGAGATAAAGGTACCAACCAAGGTCATTCGAAAGGACTTCGATAGATCTAGGATGATGAGAAGAAGGGGCTGCTGAAGAAAGGTAAGAGTTCTGATGGAGACAAAGATTGGTGTGAAGATTTGAGGGCTTTGATGGAGGAAGGGTTAGCAAAGAAGAAATCAATGGATGAGAGGGGGATTAGGTTCAGGCAGAGGTGGAGAGGATTAGGGATTTGGGCTTAGAAAGAAGATGAGGACAGAAATGGGAAATGAAAAGACAAAGGGAAAAGGATGATTTTTTCATTTAATTATATTAAAACCTATTGATTACGTAGAAAATAAATTTTAGGTTTAAATATAATTTTAATCTTTTAACTTTTCATTTTGACACTAAAATTATCTTTTAATTCTAAAAGGTATTAAATTTATCCTTAAATTTTTATTTTTGGTACCAAAATAATTCTTCTATCAGTTAAATGATAGGTAGCACGTTAACTTGCCAGCAAATTCATTTTTTTTGGGCTCTAATATGATATCTTTAGGGAAGTCACTCTAGCAAAGTCGTAGGACATCAATGGGAAATGCTGAGCATTTAGCAAAGCAATAACATCACTAAAGAAGAAGGTCGCACTAGTGAAGCAATGTGATAACACTAGGAAAAGATGAATTCCCACCAAGCATTTGGCGAAACAATGACATATTATTGGATTGGAATGCATTGATGTTGTAGCATGACATCACTAGCACAAGACCTCAAAACTCAAGCTCAAGTTACCAAACTCACCCACAATTGGTAGAATGTCCAAATTCACCCTTAAAATTAGGTAGTAGGGACAGATTTACCTCTAAACAAAAGACAAATATGTGACATCATCGGACATCAACAATTCATTAATTTATTATGTCACTGATAAGTTCATTATTAATAAATTACTGATGTCAGATGACATTATACATTAAAGTTGGGGTGATTTGTCTAAATTTAAAGTGATTTGTTAAATCAAAAACTTTGTGGGTTAATTCATCCATGTTTTTTATTCAAAGATAAATTCCTCATTCTACCCTCACAATTCCCCACATCAACCTTCCTTATAGGATCCACCTCAAGTTCCTTATGTTGTTCCTTAAACACTCTCCTACATCTCCATATCATGTTATTATTGTGCCTCGACCACAAGATCAAATAAAATAATAATTAGTAAACTTATTAAAAAATATTAATAAGAAATTATCATCAAATATGTGTGAAAGGTCTACTTACTTTAAGGCAATTCACGTCTCTGTGGAGAGTAGATCAACCGGTGCAACAAAGAGATATTTAGCATGTCGTCTCCAAGATGCTACAGTTTTATAATAACACTCTATGGATCCGCACTACCCATATAGTCATTTTGCTCAAAACACTATTATTTACCCAAGAATTTTTAAAAGATAAAGTAAAATAAGGAAAATAATAGAATGTGAAAGAACTCTATCCTTTGAGCAAATAGACATATTCTATTTATAAGACTCGTTATCTTGTAACTCACATTTGTAGTTTAATGATATAAATAAATTAGGTAGTTGTTATGAAATAATGTATTCTTAAATAAGACAATTAACCTCTAATGATTAGTTTGATAAAATCTTTAATAGGACAATAAATTTAATTTATAAAACATATTATTTTATTTTTTATTAAAATATTTAAATTTCAACGAACTTATAAAGATCCACCTCATGTGCAATAAAGGTCAGCATAAGTCTACACCTTATGCTACCATGGACAGTGATAATCAGTATAGATCCACGCCACAAATCCTTAAAATTTCAAATTTAGTTATTAATGTCCAGATTTATATACCAAACTTACTCATAATTCCCCACCAACTTGGGATTTGAGGTGTTACAGAACTGATGAATACTGCCAGCGAAGAACAAACATGTGGTAAGGCCGTAAGATACTGCCAGGATACTGCAGGAAATGATGAGCGTCTGGAGAGGTGATGACATGTTCCTTTCCACCCATGGAACGCATTCCTCTAAACGACACTTCCACTTTCCCCAACTGCAACCAGACTTTCTCATGCGGGGCCTCCAAAACCTCTCTTACCCATTCACTGGCGGGCCTCGTCCGTTATTCTGCGGTCTTTCGGGACTCCTCCTCAGCTGCACCGACAACGGATTTACCAGTTAATTATGGACTCACTGGGTTACAGGATCATCCAACTCGACCAAAACTTTTAGAGCATGACGCTTTCCCGCTCGGACCTGTAGTCTGTACAACAACACGTGTACCCACGAATTCACTAACACCACTCTGAATTCCACTTTATTCAATCTCAGCCCAGGCAACCAAAATCTTTCGCTGTTCTATGAGTGTACTTCGGTCCAGGCGTATACACCAGAGAACCTGTTCTGGTGCGTCGTAGATGGGACTTCTCGTAGAGCCGCCCACCGTGTGGTGGGTCCACTTCCGAGCGTTCCTCTTTACCAAATTATTCACTGTAACATTATCGTCAAACTGCCCATGTTGCAAGCTGCAGATAAACTTACGACCAATAGGTTCGCTCAAGGAAGCTTTAATGGAGGGATTTAGCGTGAATTAGGCTACTCCGAATGGAGCCTATTGCGCTAGTTGTCATGATTGGGGTGGGGAGTGTGGGTTTTTGGATCATTGTGTTTGCATTTGTGGTGATCGAATTTGTGACATACCAGGTATTTGTTTACATAACTGACTTTACTATCTATGTGATAATGTTGGTTCTTTGCCTAGTTTCAAATTTTCGCATTAGATGTCTGCATTTTGCTTCCAGAACCATAATTAAGTTTACCTGGACTCCTGAGGAGTATAGTTTGGTCTCTCTTGATGTTCTATTGTGACAATTCATGGTTGGGAAATTTATGTTTCTGTGTGACCATCCACTAACTATTGGGCACCTTTGAGTTGAGCTTGTTTCCAGTAATGCTACTTGAATTGAAGGATGTTCTTTGATTTCCATTGTGATCAATGGATAGTTTCAACCTTAATGAAATTTCACTTCGCTGATAGCAAAAGTCTCTAAACTTATCAGAAATGAATTTGTTTGTTTTAATCCGTAATTAGCCTACTGCTGTATTCAAATGTCTATTTACGCTGCTTCAAATCAAATACTAATAATCGTGTATTAATGTTATTCTAGTATGTAGCAATATTTTGTCTTAGGAAGAGTTGATTCTTTAAAATATTTCAATCTTATTGCATTCAAATAAGCTAATTCTTTCTTCAATATTTCTATAGTGGATTTTAGTTTGTGTTTCTGACATGCTTCTGTAGCTGTCTTCTATCAGTAAAAAAAAGTGATAATACCATTTCTTTTCCTTTTCTTTGTTTCAGGGAAACGGAAGCTTAAAGTGAAACTAATCATAGGTATTAAATTAGTCTCATTTGGGAAAATATTATTTTTGTCTGACATCTTATATCCATCATTTCTAGATTAGTTGACTTGATCTAATTTTTTGGCCGAGCAACAAAACGTTGACTTGATCTTCATTATATCTCCTATAACACAGGATTGGCAATAGCTGTAGCTACCATTATAGCAATCGGTTTTATAGTGCTCCTCTTTAGGCTTAAAACAAAATCATTGTCAAGTTTGAAGTCTCTATACTTCCATCTAACTGGCAGGAACGATGAAGGAGTTGAGGCATTCATTCTTCAGTATGGTTCTCTTGCTCCCCAGAGATTTTCCTATTCAAACATCAAGAAAATAACCAACTCATTTAAAGATAAATTGGGTCAAGGAGGATATGGCAGCGTATATAAAGGAGAATTACTTGATGGCCGTATTGTGGCAGTAAAAGTACTCAGAAAATCCGTAGGGGATGGAGGGGATTTCATCAATGAAGTTGCTAGCATTAGCAGAACCTCCCATGTCAATATAGTTAGCCTATTGGGGTTCTGTTATGAGAGGTCAAAAAGAGCTTTGATTTATGAATTCATGCACAATGGATCTCTGGATAAGTTCATTTGTAATAAAGGATCTCTAGAGAACCATCAGCTTGCAATTAAGACCTTGTATGAGATAGCACTAGGCATTGCTCGAGGACTAGAATACTTGCATCGAGGTTGTACCACAAGGATATTACACTTTGACATAAAACCTCAAAACATCCTATTAGATGCCAACTTCTGTCCTAAGATCTCTGATTTTGGTCTTGCTAAATTATGTGAAACAAGAGATTCTATTGTTTCAATGACGGGGGCGAGAGGAACTTGTGGATATATTGCTCCAGAGGTGTTTTGTCGAAACTTTGGAGGAGTTTCTTACAAGTCTGATGTCTATAGTTATGGCATGATGGTGCTGGAAATGATTGGGGGAAGAGGAAAGAATGCTAATGTGGAAGTGTCTCACTCCAGTGAAATGTCTTTTGCAACATCACTGTATAAGCAGCTTGAAAAATCAGAAAAATTGAATCTTGACAGATTCATAGCTGATGATGAAGAAGAAATGACTAGGAAGATGGTAGTAGTGAGCCTTTGGTGCATTCAAACAATTCCATCAAACAGACCATCAATGAGTACGGTGCTTGAGTTGTTACAAGGAAGCCTTGAAGCTTTGCCATTTCCACCAGAACCCTCGTTGTTTTCTCCTGCAGCAATACCACTCCAAAACTCAAACACCACATCATCGGTCATAATGCAGGTTAGACCATACTCAGCAACTTTTTATATGATTTAGTGCAATAAATATATCAAAAAAAAAATTTTAGATGGACAATTGTCTTCAGTTTGTTTACCATGTTCATAGCAATATGTTTGACGTTATTTTGCAGAGCGCTCCAAGCACTTTTGAGGCGACTTCACTACATGATGATGATGACGACGCGTCTTCAAATACATAGAAATGGTGTCTTCTGCTTCACACAACTCAGATTTTCTTGTAAAAATTATTGTTTTATAATTTGATATAATCTAAAAATGACAAAATTATTGTTTTTCTTGAACTTTGTTATTGTGCTATCAATAACACAACTCAGATTTGCTGTTCATAGCAATGGTGTCACTCTTTACTTTTTTCTTTTCTTTTTATATCCACATAACACAACTCAGATTTATAAAGTTTTACTTTCATTTTAAAATAATTATTACTGAATTATAATTAATTATAATTAAGTATTTTTGTTTATGTCTAAAGTTGATCTACATTTGATGTTACCTATATTATATAAGTGATTGTACAAACAAACGTTATAAGCTATCATTACTGAATTCCAATTTAACATTTTAACATTTAATAATTAATCGTAGAAACAAATGTTATAAGCTATCGTTACTGAGTTACAATTTATAATTTTATAATTAATTTTTTTATTATTTTGAAATAGATAATTACTTTACATTTTCACTTAATGATGGAACAAGGAGTGGAAAAGAAATTGATTTATTAGGAATTTCGACGACCTCTCATCGATGATACCAATGGGTTGTCACATGGGTATCGTTATAACTAATACTTATAATGTTAAAATTATTAAAAATTGTAAAATATAATATTATTTTTAAT